TTCGCGGTGGATCTACATTTCTAGGCCAAATTTTTGATAGCAATCCCAGGTTACAATATCTGTTTGAACCGTTTTATGATGGAAGTATCAGAAAAATGTACAAGGAAGGGGATATCCTCGGAGCTCGACCGGACCACACAGAGTACGAGCTGCGAATGCTGTACTTACAGCAAATAATGCACAACTGTTCTGTGTATCCAACTAACTTTCCGGAGAAGCATGAACGGTGTGGAACCGCTGAAGAGAACTTGGCACGGTTCAACTCTACAGTGTGCGGTGATAAGAGCTACAAAAAAGGAGAACTGTACCAAGAGATCTGTAGATACCGTGCTACAACCATCCTTAAAGTTATACGTATGAAAAACATTGAAGACCTGCTAAAAATAGAGCAGATAAAATCTGCTAATGTGAAGATAATACATCTTATCCGGCACCCGATACCACTGATGATGTCGAGGAGGTACGGTGGCTTGTTCTACATGTGGGATCAGAAACTAGTGTTGGAAAGTAACTACCAGCACTTTCCCAGTTGGAGGGTGAAAGTGGCGTTAGAAATGTATGATTACTGTTCTGAAAATATCAGGAATTTAGCGTTTGCTGAGTCCAACAGTTGGATCAAGGACCGGTACATGATGGTAAGTCATCGAGATATGAGTCTTACACCCCAGGAAACTACTGAGAAAATATACGATTTTGTAGGGGAGAAACTTACTAGTGAAATTAGAAACTACATAACAGATATAACGGGAGCGAGTTCCGAAGGATTCAAAAAGAGAAGTAGCAATGCTCTGGAGGTGTATAGGAATTCAACTGAGCTTTCAGACAAGTGGAAAGAACTTGGGATGTTTGGTAAATATTGGAATCTGTTTTCTGTTGAGCTTCAGTGTAGACAAGTGTACGATCTATTGGGGGTAAGTTCTACTGTAGACAACATATCGCGAGCAAAAGCTTTGCGGACCCAATCAGACATATCTGATAGAAATCTTTACAACTATTTTAGTCAAATTTGAAAATATGAAATTATGGAGCTCTTGATGGACACGATTGTATTTGTACATATATTATTGACCATTGTTAATGGTCTGGCCCGGCGCGCGCTACTTCGAAGAAATTTAGACGAGTAACATCCGTCAAATTCATTATTAATATTGACATATTGATATATCATCTGAATTCTGAGTCTTGCAACTAAAATTTTAACTTCTAAGAAAGAATTTTGATAAAAAAAAGAGTGTCCATGTGTTAAGTAACTGTGCCTTATCCATGCCCAATCCGTACCTAAGTTGCCCCTCAACTTAAAGTCATAAAGTGTGCATGAAGTGTCCACCGACAGATTATCGAATTGCAATGCAACAAAACAAATTATTCCGATTCATAAAGTTTAAATGAAGTTACTCAGCATTATAGTGTAAAATGATTACATAGCATGATTGGGCATGGATAAGGCACAGTTACTTAACTGCTGCTCACTGCTGCTCACTGCTGCTCACTGCTGCTAACTGCTGCTAACTGCTGCTCACTGCTATTAAATGTTACTGGGCGGCGCTCAGCCTGTCATTTCGCCGAATCTTTAATCTTTATTCGGGCTGAGTGAATTGTGACTTCCATCGCCCTAAAAAAAGTGTGAATGCTCATTGGATGTTAACAGTTAAAGCGCACGTGACTCGCATTCACGTGATCACAGGAGGAGCAAAGACCAAAGTGCAAAGAAACTGCCACAAACTGCTACTAACTGCTAATAACTGCTAGAAACTGGCACTAACTGCCACAAACTGCTACTAACTGCTACAAACTGGCACTAACTGCTGCCGTTTTCTCAGAAAAGGCAGTAAGTCCATATTTGCCATTTCGAGATATTGCGACTTTTGCGTTTATGGTTTTTTCTCCGCTTACTTTTTGCGTAAGATCAAAAGTAAACACGTTGAGTTATCAATAATTAGTCAAATTTTAATTTGTCAAAAAAATTAAAGCTTTGAGCCGTCCATAAGCTTAGATATAACCATTTTTATGCCAAATAATCGAGCTTATTTTTCATACTGGATGGACTTACTGCCTTTGCTGAGAAAACTTGGACTTACTTCCTTTTCTGAGAAAAATCTCTGTTCAATATTTTTCTGAGAAGGAAGTAAGTCCAAGCTTTTTACTAAATATTTGAGGTTTGGATCTATGTATTTTGGATTATATTGTAAAATATAAACAATTAGGTAAATCTAAATTGCTCCATATCATATAATAAATGTTTTTGAATAGTAGTATGCCCTTATTTAGGCAAACTCGCCAATTTTGAAAGATTTCAGTGCATTAAATGATATCCTATCGATATTTTGATGAAAATGAACTTGATCTAAAAGATGTACCTAAACTAAACATTCTCTGCGATTATAACAGCTCAATAACTGCTCCAATGTTTATGTTTTGCAAATAAAATACATCCGGCGTTTTTGAAAATCGGCCACCAAATTTTTTTGAGGCCTAAATGAAAATTTTGATCACTTAAGTAAAGTTGAAATGTAATTATACATCGATTCTGAAAATTTCAAGCGAAAATATCAATCGGCAGTAAAGTTATGTTCTTTTTGGGAAATCGCTTTCTAAAATTCCGCTTTTAGCATGCTTTTATAGGAAGTATGTCCAGCTACTTCTTCCTATCACAGATAATTTATCTCAGAAAAGGCAGTAAGTCCACGGAATTACTTCCTTATCTCAGAAGATTTTCAAGATTTTCTCAGAAAAGGCAGTAAGTCCGGACTTACGTCCTTCTCTCAGAAAATAATTGGCCAAAACCGAACATAATGTTTCTCAACTGGGACTTACTTCTTTAGAAATTGCATGCAACTATGTTTCTTACTTCCTTAGAAATTGCATGCAACTATGTTCTATACATTAATATGTAGCTCATGTTGTAGAGAATTTTCTACTGAAAATTTTGATACCAATATTGTCATATTTCGAAAAATTGGACTTCCTTTTCTGAGAAAACGGCAGATTACTGCCACAAACTGCTACTAACTGCTGCAATCGCGCCCACGCATTCGTGCGCCGTTTGTGTGTGATCGTTCACAGTTCAGAACCAATTACAGCCTAGCCGCGCAAAAGATCACGTGCACGCTAACTACCAATAAGAAAGAAGTGATGTATGTGCTACAAAAGACGAGCCCTGAGTTAGATTGTAAAATCTGATTATTTGATTGTAAAATCACATAAACGCGCGTTTTAGAGGGTTCAATTACGCCAGGCGCTATGTTTATGAACATAATAGCTTGGGGTCCTCAGGTAAACTAAATGCTGCTCACTGCTGCTAAATGCTGCTACCGCGCGCACGCCATTTTCTGAAGTTGCGCGCAGCGTGCGTGGCGCAGTAAAAACGCCATTTTTTTGGGCGAGCAAATTATAATGTGTTGGTTCAGCCGAATTAATTTTTATCAATTTTATTTTTATTTTTAGTTAGTTGTTATCCGGCCAAACAATAAGAAACTTATAAAAATAAAAATATGACATTGTAATTTTGCATAGCTGAAATGTAACAATTGATCTATATTCAAATTAATTGAATTTTCAGATGAACAATAAAGTTTTTCGTCTCGAAATCAAACTTCGTATTAATTTACTTTTTTATTTATTTATTAGTTAACGTACAATATAATAGTATAGTAATAGGCGCACGTTATATCTCCGCCAAAAGCAAATCCATGTCCAATTTGATACGCATAAAATATGTTTATAACTTCCTTGATTGAGCATTGGTTGACGATGTCAACCCATTGAGATCGTTCGCGTTGCTTTGCAAAGCAGAGCAACGATCGACGATCAGAATGCTAGTTCGCGCGGCGCGTTGAAGCAGCGAAGTCCTCCAAGATTGTGCACTAAGTTGGCGTTTTTCGACCAAAATTGAACGGGGAATCGTTTAAAATAATTGTTGAGGCACCTCGATAAAAGTAAAACAAAATTTAAGTAAAACAAAATGTCGCGCGCGCGCCCATATCAGCAGTGAGCAGCATTTAGCAGCAGTGAGCAGCATCGGCGCCATAGTAATAACATACAATTTTCTTAATCATGTGAAATGCAAGATATTCTCATTATTCACAATGTCAATCTTTCGCATCTCGCCGATCTGTGGTTGCGTGAAAATGTTAAATGCGCGGCGCGACCCAGTAATGCATCGCGCTACAAGATATTTTCAAAATGTTTACCTTTTCACTTGCTTATTGCTACGATGATATCTTTTTATTTTTTAAACGTTTCATTGCTGTAAGTAGTAAATACAAATTATGACATCACGTCATTACATATGTTTACAAAGTATTCTTGCACTTTACCTGGGGACCTCTACTCAGGCCAGGCTATCATGTTCATAAACGGAATGACAGGCTGAGCGCGGCCCGGCCCAGTATAATCTTGCACTATGTGAAAAATACAATAAATATTTTCCCACCATCATTCATAATGAATCAAGTAAGACAAGCAATAGTGTAAGCAGAAGGACACCATTCTCATCTATTTTTTCTTTAGAGAATGATGCATAACTGTTTGTACTCCAAACATTTATTTTTTGTTTTAATTCGTCCTGTTATACTGGGTGAAAGTGCCGATTTTACATTTTTACATAATATATTCTTAGAGATTTTTGCAAATTTCGTAGCTCCAACCTGGTACCGACTGTTCAATCAGTAAATTTGTTCCATATAGGCAGATCCTTATGAGAGAACTATAATTCCTGTGTGCAGTTGCTTCTCTCATTCCAAATTATCCCATGAACTCCACTTCTCCCCATTCATATCTAAATTTACGGATAGAAATATCACTCGAACAAATTAATTGAAATATATTTGTCATGCAACTTTAGGAAGGGATTCATCTTCACAATAAAAGATATCACATTAAAAGACATACTTGACGGAACAAATTTGGAGACAATTTGTAATTATTATTAATATTTGTAACTTTCATTCTTTTAAGCTGTGAAACGCCATTTGATAATATCAAGTACAATTATCTATTTGCAGTATGAGCAATGAAGAAGTCACTGTTTCTATAGAATCTCCAGCCAAATCGTCAGCAATTTTAGAAGGTATATATTATACATTTTAGTGATGTAAAACAGTCATTAATTGTTCTTTGTTAAAAATGATAGGTATATTCTACTCACAAATGGTTATGTCTGAGAAGTATGGATTTTGAAATCTGATTCTTTATATTAGCTTTATCTGGCAACTATTTTTTTCAGATACAGTTATTGAAAACAAATGTGTAGAAAATAAATTAGTGATCAACGTTCAACCTGGTGAGTCAAGTAGTCTTAGTTTAAATGATATATGTATAATGTTCGTCTAATAAATAATCATCCAATCACTCAACTTGCCTGCCATTTTGGTACATAGCGAAAGCTTATGTAAGAGCAATGCTATAACACTGTGCCATTTGAGTATATACTATTTTCTACAGTATCAGATTCCACTGTGTGCGAAGACACTGACACAGCAGAGGGAGAAAAACGCAAACAAATAGAGAATTATAAACATAAGAAAGCTACTGTAGGAGGAGATAAGGTTGATACTCCCTCAAGAAGCAAGCATGTCCCTCACACTTTTCTTACTATGCCTGATGGTAAGAGATTTACCACTTGTGTGCTGCAAGTTTTACCAAAGTTGACTTATGATTGAAATTTTTGTTTTGCAATTTATAGTAAATAAAAGGTATCAATATCAAAAACAATCAGTATATGATTTGAAATACAAGATTATACAGAAGATTTCGTTAAAAAATCGTTAACAAATTGTCTTGAATCCATATTATGAGGGATCAGAGAAAATTTATGAAACAATTGTTTTAGTATAACAATTGCTTTATTATAATATATTTATCAGTCTAGATATTAAGTAATATTCTACTTGCCGGCTCCAACTGCCTCTTTCCCTCTCGCAATTTTCTTTTTGCAGTACCCTCTAAAACTTTTATTTGTAAGATAATATATAAAAGGATTGATGAAGCAAGAAGTCTGCATGACAATGAAGGTGAATCGTGTGTATATAACCAAGCTTTTACCATCAAATAAACCTATCACATTGTAAAAGTCTAAACACCATAGAACATATGGGAAGTTACTGATGAAAAACATTGTAGTTGTCGCCAGAACTATTAGAATATTCTTCCTTTTCACCTGACCTCTCCCTGTAAAGAAAAATAAGCAAGCCTTCTTTAATTTGAATTTTTTCATTATGATTTAGTGGTTCAAATGTACCGAAAGGAATAAATCTCATGGAATATAAAATATTTAAAAATCTCACACATACCCTTGACTCCGGCTATTAGAATAAGAGCACTATTACTAAACACCAGCATGACAATAGGAACTATCACTACAATCAGGGATAAGATAACATCAACTGAAGGGTTTACAAACAGGTTCACTCCCGTGGTATTCTCTTGTGGGGTGCAGCCCATGTAATCTTGTATGAAACTGAAATAAAGTTACTATCAGTTAAACAAGGTTACACAATAACATAATATATGAAAATCTTTAAAAAATAATTGTAATTTAGGATAATTTTGCAATGTTAAATGTTGCGTTGTCAAGTAAGGGATCATATCTACCAAATGATTGAGGAACAGTTGTTTTTTCTGTTTTTTGACTCTTGATTGATAATCAACATCATTCAGTCAAACATCACCTGCTTACCTAACTTGAGTTGACGTGATGGCCTGATATAGAGTTATGGACATATATATAGAACTAGTAGCCACTCCACCACATGTCACTATCACGCAATGCCATTGCTTCGGAGACCGCGCAAGTGGCACCATGCATCGGTACAACTTGTTTACCACAAGCGCATTCACAAAGAATGAGTTCGCGTCAATGAAACAGTATTTGATGGCAAGAAGAATTTTGCAGACGGTGGACCATTCATAACCAGTTATCAGAACAATGATGGTTGGGAAGACGTTGAAGAGACCGCGCAGGATATCCGCAACAGCAAGGTTTTGTACGATCCACACTGACATTTTATCAAGTTTTATTGCGTCATGTTTGACTGTGGCATGCATCACAACGAAGTTACCTGAAGTAACAAAACTGGTAAATTCTGTACTATCTGTATGATATTAGTATAACATTTCAGAAATTAAGGAGGAGGAAATGTATTCAAATACTTTATACTGTTCTACAAATATAAAGGTTTAAAAATTTACCTGTAAGGCATAAGACGAGAGCAATGACATACCATACAATTATAATAATCTCCTCGTGTATTAGCATAGAAGAAGAATCCATCTGTAATAATGATGCGGTTAATTGGTTAAATCAGCTCATTGAATGTTGTCATCATGTTGTCGTGTCACGTGATTTAGCTAGTACTCGTACATCTTCAGTAAAGTAACTGTATTACCTCTTATTACAAATCTATGCTGGTAGCTTTACTACAGTAACAATCTTTCCACGTGCACTTTCCGCTCTCGTTACTATGCCACCTTTTGATTTATAGCCAATTTGCACGAAGGTGGTCAGACAGAAAAAGAGAAATCTCCGAATTATAAGTTAGATATTACCCCTAAATACAAATATGTGCTGGTAGCCTAATTATAGCCACATATAAAAATAGCATGGAGATTCATAATCAATTCAATCGAAGATACTGATTTTCGTTAAGTATCACGGTCAAAAATAAAGATCAGGATTCGTTAAATTTGGAAATAGTAGTTGTACAGCAATACTAAGGTAATGGGACTACTGCAGACCCTCTACTGTCAAGGTTTGGTGAACGGTAGTTAAAAGCGATTAAGGGACATAAGTCAAAGTGGTACAGCAACATCATGTAGTGGACATCTTGAGAAATGAGTAATAGGTAGAATGTAAGGTTTCTCCTTCATAAATCGTATTTTTCTCCGATAATAAATTGACATCAAGTCTTGAAAATTATTCGAGATTCTGACTTATGTCCCTTAATCGCTTTAAACTACCGTTCACCAAACCTTGACTGCGGCTTTGTTAACAAGGTTTGGCCGGTAGAGGGTCCGCAGTATCCCAAAACCTTAGTATTACTGTACAACTACTACAGAAGTAATCCCGATAACACTCGACCTCTGCCTGATTCAGAGGATGTCACCCTTTTACCTTCACACGCTGTAAGAAGATGACGATCAGACCTCATTAAATATGGAAATAGATACAAAAACTGCGAACTGATATAATATGTTTCTCCATTACCTGGAGTTCACATTAGATCTGTACTGATTCTGTACTTATTCTGTACTATAAGAGAACATTAGAGTATCGTATCACTCTATCAAACGACCAACCAATAAATGTTGACCGGACAAACAAAATACTTGATAACCATTTTAATTCCATTTTGAACAGTTTTGCTAAAGATCTCTCGAATGAGTAGTTGCAGTATACTTGTACTACAGCATGATGTTGTGATACATATGATGTGTTTTTCTACTCTGTCTGCTTCATCACATGCATCAACATCGTCATACATAATATGAAAAGATATGTGTTCTTTCGATGTTTCTTTTTTTTAACTGGTAATCTATAACATGTGATGTCACACAAGTGATTTATAGAACTTATTAGATGGATTTATAGAATTGGTTAGACTCAAAATAAGGAGTAAAAATAAGGAACAAATAAGGAGCAAATTTTCCAAACTCGTGGACTCATAAAGTGATCAAGAAATTTGACCTGCTTGAGCAAGGGGAACAGCCCAAAACAGAGTATCAGGAAGGCCCGGTACCCAAAATCCTGATTAACTAGCAAGGATAAAAGATAACAATAGGTAAAAGCTAAATATAGACACCAATACTATACCAGATTATTCCTTCTGATCATGCAAGGGGGCTGGCTGTTTAGGAACAAAGCAGAATCTCACTGTACATGCAACTGATTTGATTCGAAACGTTCATCAAATAAGTTTAGATAGAGAATAGTAGAGAATTATTCGGGAAATTAACATGAGATAGGTGTTGTTAAAGCTTCCATAGAAATACAATCTGTATTCAATGTAATAGGGACCTTACCAAGTATATGAGATATTCTAACGCCATGCAGCTGGTACAAACACCTTAGTAAATCGATAAATGTTTACAATATAATTCTAGAATAAAGTTGGTATTGTACACAAAACCCTCAAATTTTTCCCGATTATACTGTTATAGAAGATCTAACTAACTAGATCTAACTACTGATTAACTGATGGAGAACGATACTTTGACACGTGACAGTTATTTACGGTAACCAATGCGCTTCAAGTATTATATACGTCACTGATACGCATATGTAATATGCGTTGCTTCACTGGCTCGACTGAATAGTGTGGCTACTATAATAGTACTATGATCTATCTTATTATATCTACTTTATCACCACCATAGTGCGCATCTGAGTGATGTGTGTCACAGACTGTCTCTGTGGCATTCTCGTGCTTCATCTCCTGCCATTCATCTTTATACGTCTCCAGACATATCACGTCTCAGCTCTCATAAGCAATTGAATCTTACGAGAGAGAAACCGTTTCAAATTAATCAGCGACACACCGGACAACCGGTCATAATTAGAAAACAGGATATTACGTGCAGTTTATTAATTGTGAGTCGCCATGCAATTCACGTTTTGATATGTTGACTTTAGTAAAGTCATTTTAAAATAATGTTAGATAGCAAGCACACAACATTACACTATCGGGAGTTAATCTAGTTTATATAGATCTGAATAAAGCGGATATATACAGAGAAATTGTAACGTGTTTGAAACTTAGTAGATATTTGTGTTCGTCCGATAAGATAATTACTACCAAAATTTAATTACATAATTAACTGATTAATTAAATTGACAGAGATTTGGGGGTTTATTTAGTTATGATTAGATCTTCCAAGTAATGTTGAAATGGAAATATAACGAGGTCATCTTCTTACAGCGTTACTTACTACAGAAATGGAAATATATCCATTCTTCCGTTTTCTGACAGCATGAGTGCCTAAGACCATTTAAAGATCGGAGGTCTTTTGACACATTTTTGACACATTTTTGACAAATGTTTGCATTTTAGGCTTTTCCAAAAGGGGGTTTCTTGGGGCCGGCGATTGATTTTAATGAATTATGATGGTTTTTTAAGGATAGTTCTTGACCCAAAAGAATTAAGGTTAAAGAATTCGGAATTTCAAAAATGTTAATTTAACACATTTGTCAGAAAACGGAAGCATTCGAATGAAGCAGAATACCAATACATTTAAATATAAATTGCACAAAATCTATCGATTATTGATTGAAATAATACCCGTACTACACATTACCAAGTACGTTACGTGGGAGATTGTGCGAAATAAAATGAAATAAAGTGAAATAAAGGGAAATAAAGTGAAAGAAAGTGAAAGAAAGTGAAAGAAAGTGAAAGAAAGTGAAATAAAATGAAATAAAATGAAATAAAATGAAATAAAGTGAAATAAAGTGAAATAAAGTGAAATAAAGTGAAATAAAGTGAAATAAAGTTCACACGGTACAGCAATCTGATGCAGTACATTTGACAGAGTGAACTGTAGAAAGCTTAATAGTTTAGCTAATAATGACACGGTTAATAATAATTAACGTAATAAAATAATGGGGGGTTACGAGCTGTCTAGACAAATAACCTGCCATTATTATTTGTAATATTTGTAATTCAATGTGGCATATTCAATGAGTTCAATCAAGAAGTGCGGTTAAGATGGGAGCTTCATTGATTAGAACAGTAAAGCGTTATGAGCTATAAAATCACATACCTAACTATGCATTAAGAGTACAGGATTTTGTAAACCACAATCACATACTGTGCACTTATAGTGCAGCGTTATGAGCTATAAAACCACATACTGTGCACTAATAGTGCAGCGTTATGAGCTATAAAACCACATACTGTGCACTAATAATATAGCGTTATGAGCTATAAAACCACATACTGTGCACTAATAATATAGCGTTATGAGCTATAAAACCACATACTGTGCACTAATAATATAACGTTATGAGCTATAAAACCACATACTGTGCACTAATAATATAGCGTTATGAGCTATAAAACCACATACTGTGCACTAATAGTGCAGCGTTATGAGCTATAAAACCACATACTGTGCACTAATAGTGCAGCGTTATGAGCTATAAAACCACATACTGTGCACTAATAATATAGCGTTATGAGCTATAAAACCACATACTGTGCACTAATAGTGCAGCGTTATGAGCTATAAAACCACATACTGTGCACTAATAGTATAACGTTATGAGCTATAAAACCACATACTGTGCACTAATAATATAGCGTTATGAGCTATAAAACCACATACTGTGCACTAATAGTGCAGCGTTATGAGCTATAAAACCACATACTGTGCACTAGTAGTGCAGCGTTATGAGCTATAAAACCACATACTGTGCACTAATAATATAGCGTTATGAGCTATAAAACCACATACTGTGCACTAATAGTATAGCGTTATGAGCTATAAAACCACATACTGTGCACTAATAGTGCAGCGTTATCAGCTATAAAACCACATACTGTGCAATAATAATATAGCGTTATGAGCTATAAAACCACATACTGTGCACTAATAATATGGCGTTATGAGCTATAAAACCACATACTGTGCACTAATAATATAGCGTTATGAGCTATAAAACCACATACTGTGCACTAATAATATAGCGTTATGAGCTATAAAACCAAATCTTTTAAAGGACCACTTTAGTTAATGAGAATTGGGTCATTTTTCATTATGTTATGAAAAAAAGGCTGTAGAAATATGTGCGGTGTTTTTATTTCTTGATGTGATTAAAAAAGGTATATTCCCCCGCTTTACTCGGTTTTCATGTTTATTCGGAGCCGGTGCCACCACGTTTTATATTTGGCAGTTTTCAAAAATAAACAAATATTTGATTGCTTTTTCATGTAAAACTACCTGGCTAGTAGCCAGAAAGTTTCGTAACAAATGTGCACATTTTAATCTAACTTCGTATGGGAATTCTGTGAATCGGATCACACACGATTTACTTAATTGCAAGTGAAAGAAAGTGAAAGAAAATGAATTATAGTAAAATAAAATGAAATAAAGGTCACTCGGTTCAGCAATCTGATGCGGTAGATTTGACTGAGTGAACTGTAGAAAGTTTAATAGTTTAGCAAATAACGACACAGTTAATAATAATTAACTTAATAAAATAATGGGGGGTTACGAGCTGTCTAGACACACATCAAGAGCGATCCACTCAATTCTCTCTGTGAACGAACAATTTACAGCCTACTATAAGAGCCCAGATTTCCACTTAAATACTGGCCAATGCATAATGCTATAGGACCTCAAAATAAGATCGAAATCTACAAATCCGATCTATTCATAGAAAAATAGTATTATAAAACATTTCTATTTTATCCCTACACATCCTTTGTACATTATTTGTACATTATTTGTACATTATTTGTACATTATTTGTACATTATTTGTACATTATTTCTATCACGCTGAATGCATACATACATGATAAATAATAAATGGCCAGTAAAGGAGGTTTCAGCTAATTCCTGGCTATATTGAGGGGAGTATACTAGTCTAATATATACTTTACACTAGTTTAATATGTACTTTACACTAGTTTAATATGTACTTTATACTAGTTTAATATGTACTTTATACTAGTTTAATATGTACTTTACACTAGTTTGATATGTACTTTACACTAGTTTAATATGTACTTTATACTAGTTTAATATGTACTTTACACTAGTTTAATATGTACTTTACACTAGTTTAATATGTACTTTACACTAGTTTAATATGTACTTTACACTAGTTTAATATGTACTTTATACTAGTTTAATATTATGTACTTTACACTAGTTTAATATGTGGACACGTTCATTTGAGTTTGAGGATATTGGTAAATATAAGTGACCCTATTAAAAGGCACAGTGTAGTTGACTTTGTCACACTATTGAATTACTTAAACCCTTGATGGTTAGGATAATCGTCTCATCCTCTAGGCTAACTTTGTCACATAACGATATCTTAATCAGGTGATAAGATATCGCTTAAATACGGCCGGCACGGAAATGGTTACATTGTCACACTATAAACATGTGACGGAGTAAATATGAACCCCTTGCTGCCGTTTTTGACCAAATTTTTGAGTGTCCAGTTGATTGGATGGGTACATATGACCATTACCTACATATTTGACGACTTTTTTCGTTATATGGTGCATTCAGGTTTACTCTGTCACACATTAAAGAAAATATGTGATGAATGTTTAGGGCACCCTGATAAGCAATGCTGAGTAGTGTAAGTTTATTTGATGGCCTGGAAGTGCTGGGAATTGTTATTATATCATATAATAGTCGTAAGGAATTAAAACACAGAAGGCACAACCAAGCTTATTTTGTCACACAATCTTGATGATATCTGAACATGTGTGAAATTGAACAAATAATGGTATACCAGCTTAAACCCCTTATATTATACGTACTATGGATCAAACAACACTGCTAGTACCATGCACCATGCCAGTCACATAAATCATTATCAGGTGGTAATATGTTAACAGTGTCACAATTAAACTACCGCTACATGATCAAAAATAGGGTAATTTCGTCACAAAAAATTATTATAACTCTGTTAGCTCCTTGCTGGCAAAATAACTAGTTTATCGAAATTTTTTTGATGATAAGGTTACATGGTATTCTAATAGAGGTATAGTTCTTCAAAATAGGGGCAAGACATGTTTACTTTGTCACATCAGTTATTATAAGAGTTAGGTAATCGTCATCAGATTAAAAGATATTTTTCGTAGTTTGGATCGATTAATACTTTAATATACCTGTAATAAATCCTATGCCAATTTTAACACACTATCTTGATACTGTTGGGGCAGAAAAAGTTAATTTTGTCACATTTTCAATGTCTTTGACAAATTAATCTAAATCTAGGGGCAAGACATGTTTACTTTGTCACATCAGTTATTATAAGAGTTAGGTAATCTTCATCACATTAGTTACATATATTTTTTTGTAGTTTGGATTGATTTATATAGGTAATAAAGCAGCCTATGCTAATTTTTATACACTATCTTGAAATTTTTGGGGCATGAAAAGTTAATTTTGTCACATTTTTAGTGACTTTGACAAATTTAACCTAAAATTGTTAAACTTAAGCTCTGATGTTCTGGACAATATTCTAATAGAGGTATAGAATATAGATCTTCAAAATAGGGGCAAGACATGTTTACTTTGTCACATCAGTTATTATAAGAGTTATTATTAGAGACTATTTCATTCTATAATCATTGTTTTTAATCTATTTACGATTTCGTATAATTTTTTGTGACAATGTAAACATCAACTGATCTTAACTTGCATCAACTACATTGTCATCATATAAAATTTTCCCGCCTTTCAAACCAAAATCAGATATAAATAATTCGCCCAAAATTTTAAATTTCATTTATTGTGACAGAATTAACCTCATTTCCCAATAACCAAGTGCCTGTATAAGCTAAATATTCAAAACAACATATTTTAGGGCTATGATTGGTAGAGCAACCATCAAATAATGAGTTGAAAGGGTTTTTAGGACACCTCACAGTAGAATAGAGGTATGGTATCATGAGTGTGACAAAGTTACCTAAATATTGCCTTGTAACCGTTCGATCCGTGCCCATTAACCAATGTTGTATCATAATTGTTAGATTGACCTAATTTACTATATTTCAGACCAAGGAATGATAATTAGACAAATGCAGTTAACTAAGTCACACAAAATGTGACATTTGAAACATTATAGTGCCTAACAACAATAGATTTTCTTTCTGAGCGGTGCATATGGGAGTATGGGTTACGTGGCTAATGTTCAGAACTTCTGAACGTGCTAGGTTAATAGATGTCAAAATTAAGCCACTATCGTCAAAAACGCTATTATTTTTGTTTACCAATATCCTCAAACTCAAATGAACGTGTCCATGTACTTTACACTAGTTTAATATGTACTTTACACTAGTTTAATATGTACTTTACACTAGTTTAATATGTACTTTACACTAGTTTACAACAATTTAAGGTATGAGTTAACATACATCAGCCCCATGGATATTCGGATAGAAACATTATTTATGAGTCGCATTACTACTTTACTATACTGTTTAAAGATCAAAATGTCTGATAATTACTCTTCAGGAAAGAAGATAATGTTCTCCCTTCCCACAAAGACAAGCAACACTAAAAACACTGGCAGCTACGGGGAACGATTAAAACACACCAGGTAACAAACAACAAAGATTAGTAGATGTGGATTCTGGTGAGGGGTGTAGGAATACCCCCCTCCCCCGCCCCCGCTTTCTACACCCCTGATTCTGGTGAGGAGGTGATGCACGTGACAGCTGCGATTATCCTTCCACTACTGACTGATTACGTCACGTCGTCATTAGTCATGGGCATCGTCGTACTTGATAATATTATAATATGAGACACCTGTTCAGCAAACTGCTTCTTATAAAGTTATTTATAAAGGAGTATTATAAAGAATTACAGATCTCTGAGTAAACAGAGAAATTACAAACTACCTTGTATGTACAATATTATTTTTGTGTGACGTACAATCATTAAGTCCGTAGATCTCGTAAGACTGAGCGTGAGTTTTTTAAATTATAGTGTTCAGTAGGGAGCATCGCGGCTCTCGACAGACAAAGTGAAACAAGGCAAATAAGTGGTGAAAACTAAATGAAAATAATCGACGTTTCAGCACTCATTGGCCATTTAAGTAATCTTAGTAAAAGGCCAATGAGAGCTGAAACTAAACACTACAATCTTTTATATATATATAAGTCACACCTGCCCAAGCTAGAGAGCCATGGCAGGGTCAGCAAGCAAGGCCCGGACCAAAACAAACTGAGCCGACTGGTTATAGAAACACTACAATCTTACCCACCATATAAATATTATACTATTAGAACGGGTCATTGTTCTCTTATATCTGAACAATTCGACTAATGGCAAATTAAGATTTATAATGGTTTATACAGGTTAAAATCGTTAGTAAGAAACTTAATCTATTGACCATCACCATATGGTATGAGCATTAGCAAACTTTGAGCAAATGTTTGTACCGTATGTATCTAATATGATAACCACAACGCGTTGAGGTAGATGTAAAGGTGAGGTCGATGTAAAGGTGAGGTCGATGTAAAGGTGAGGTCGATGTAAAGGTGAGGTCGATGTAAAGGTGAGGTCGATGTAAAGGTGAGGTCGATTTAAAGGTGAGGTCGATGTAAAGGTGAGGTCGATTTAAAGGTGAGGTCGATGTAAAGGTGAGGTCGATGTAAAGGTGAAGTCGATGTAAAGGTGAGGTCGATGTAAAGGTGAGGTCGATGTAAAGGTGAGGTCGATGTAAAGGTGAGGTCGATGTAAAGGTGAGGTACCTTGACTATATTTAGTAAACTGGTAGGATATGGGAAATTATTACAAGTTAATATCTTATCCTTAATGAGAAACTTAATCTTTAGCCCACCAGAAAGAAAACTTTGAGCAGAAAATAAAAACGACTATAATTTAAAGGATTGAGGTTACATTCACCTTGTTTTTAAGATTTAACCTGTTTTTCTGACGTGTCTACTTACCAAAGACCCATATTAACTTTTAAAAGCATTATAATTTAGTGATAACTGGGCATATTTATAGTATGGTGAGTAAACGTTAGCTTAAAATAGAGCCAGTCTATTTATTAATTGAATGACAAAAACTTCATTTAGATAATCGCTAAATGCAAAAGTCCTAAAATGTTGATTGGAATTACCTTGGAGGTTCATATTATATTGGAAGTAAAAGGTCCTTTAAACTATAAAGCTATAACGAATAATTAACAAATTTTGATTACGTAATCAACGACCAAAATGAAGGAAATGAACGAAATAAAGGAATCAGCAACTATTAAAGTTAAGAGAACCGCAACAGCCTACTGGCGATGTGACCTAAGCATAAAGCATGACAAAACACGCTCAACTATCAAATCCCTATGAGTTTATGAAATGTTATTGTTTACTGTAGACATCTGACGCTCGCCAGTCGGCAGTCATTATACCAAACCTTGAGCTTCTCTCAATTGCCAAAAAGAATGGCTCTGTCAGCTGTCTTCGGCATTTGTATCAATTCTTTTCTTTTATCTTAGAGACAAGAGTAAAGAGAAAGGCCACAATTGGCGCCAGAAATCCTTGTATTTAAGTCAAAAAGATCTGCCTTATGCATATTTATCAATCGAATGAAAAAAACGTGCAATATTCTGAGCTATAAAAGTATAAAGACAAAAGAGCGGTTTTTACTTTTAGTCTTAGATCATATTAGTCTTTTAGTCTTAGATCATATTACTATAAAAGTATAATAAATGGTAGATTTGGTAAAAACAGCATACTCTAGGCCCCATACCACGTGTAATATCACGTGTAATATCACGTGTAATATCACGTGTAATATTACGTGTAATATCACGTGTAATATCACGTGTAATATCACGTGTAATATCACTCGTAATTATGTAATATCACGTGTAATGTCACGTGTAATATCACGTGTAATATCACGTGTAATATCACGTGTAATATCACGTGTAATATCACGTGTAATATCACGTGTAATATCACGTGTCACGCCACGTGTTACACCACGTGTAATATCACGTGTAATACCACGTGTAATATCACGTGTAATATCACGTGTTTCACCACGTGTGTGTAGCTATATTAATGCTTGTATTCCAATAAAATAACACTCCTCTCCTCTCAGCACAACTGCAGAAAAGAAGAACACAACCCAAGGACACGGCTTCACACAACGAGGGATAAAATACATTGCACTCAGTCTTATCTGCTGTATTATCGGGATACTCTTTTATCTGCTAGCTGCTGACGCTGATAACACTGCACGGTTACTTGTGTTGCTGATAGGGGCCGGGTTGGGAGTCTTCTTCTTTCTGTGTGCTAATGATTACGTTTGTAGGTAGTGAGGGTGTCACGTGGCATGTCACGTGTTCGTGATCAGACACTGTTAATTAAAGATGAAGTATATGGTGAAGATAGGCTGTGTTAATTATGCTGACTGATTGTGTAGTGTGTAAATAATAAATTAAATGATGATCAGATGATAATAAAGTAAATAAACTTCATATATCACAACTTTCTCCCTTAACAGTTAATACTTTAATAGCCGATCGGCGATCGGCATTGTACATATTTGTCGAGCAAGATCATCTTATATACTCCTGGTTAAATAAGTGGCTGGTATTGGAGATTTGTCAGATATGTGGGGTTGCTTTTATCTTTAATCATCGTGTTGTGAATAATGCTGTTACCATGGCAACTGATAGTAACCATGGCAACTGTTTTTCAGTAATATTCTGGGTTCTTTTCTCTGTTCGAATAAAAAAGAATCTTCATTCATTTTAAAACTTAATAACTAATATTTAAAATTAATCATTGATTAATTAAATAAAACAGATGCTGTTACCAGGCCAGTATTGAAAAAGTGACCGCTATCTCCATTAGTGTTATACCTGTATTCGCATGATAGCAGTTAGGGTCGTTCACATATTACGTAATCACTGAGGGGAGGGATGGGTGTCTTAATCACTAAGGGGAGGGAGGGGTGTCTTAATCACTAAGGGGAGGGAGGGGTGTCTTAATCACTAAGGGGAGGGAGGGGTGTCTTAATCACTAAGGGGAGGGAGGGGTGTCTTAATCACTAAGGGGAGGGAGGGATGTCTTAATCACTAAGGGGAGGGAGGGGTGTCTTAATCACTAAGGGGAGGGAGGGGTGTCTTAATCACTAAGGGGAGGGAGGGGTGTCTTAATCACTAAGGGGAGGGAGGGGTGTCTTAATCACTAAGGGGAGGGAGGGGTGTCTTAATCACTAAGGGGAGGGAGGGGTGTCTTAATCACTAAGGGGAGGGAGGGGTGTCTTAATCACTAAGGGGAGGGAGGGGTGTCTTAATCACTAAGGGGAGGGAGGGGTGTCTTAATCACTAAGGGGAGGGAGGGGTGTCTTAATCACTAAGGGGAGGGAGGGGTGTCTTAATCACTAAGGGGAGGGAGGGGTGTCTTAATCACTAAGGGGAGGGAGGGGTGTCTTAATCACTAAGGGGAGGGAGGGGTGTCTTAATCACTAAGGGGAGGGAGGGGTGTCTTAATCACTAAGGGGAGGGAGGGGTGTCTTAATCACTAAGGGGAGGGAGGGGTGTCTTAATCACTAAGGGGAGGGAGGGGTGTCTTAATCACTAAGGGGAGGGAGGGGTGTCTTAATCACTAAGGGGAGGGAGGGGTGTCTTAATCACTAAGGGGAGGGAGGGGTGTCTTAATCACTAAGGGGAGGGAGGGGTGTCTTAATCACTAAGGGGAGGGAGGGGTGTCTTAATCACTAAGGGGAGGGAGGGGTGTCTTAATCACTAAGGGGAGGGAGGGGTGTCTTAATCACTAAGGGGAGGGAGGGGTGTCTTAATCACTAAGGGGAGGGAGGGGTGTCTTAATCACTAAGGGGAGGGAGGGGTGTCTTAATCACTAAGGGGAGGGAGGGGTGTCTTAATCACTAAGGGGAGGGAGGGGTGTCTTAATCACTAAGGGGAGGAGGGGTGTCTTAATCACTAAGGGGAGGGAGGGGTGTCTTAATCACTAAGGGGAGGGAGGGGTGTCTTAATCACTAAGGGGAGGGAGGGGTGTCTTAATCACTAAGGGGAGGGAGGGGTGTCTTAATCACTAAGGGGAGGGAGGGATGTCTTAATCACTAAGGGGAGGGAGGGGTGTCTTAATCACTAAGGGGAGGGAGGGGTGTCTTAATCACTAAGGGGAGGGAGGGGTGTCTTAATCACTAAGGGGAGGGAGGGGTGTCTTAATCACTAAGGGGAGGGAGGGGTGTCTTAATCACTAAGGGGAGGGAGGGGTGTCTTAATCACTAAGGGGAGGGAGGGGTGTCTTAATCACTAAGGGGAGGGAGGGGTGTCTTAATCACTAAGGGGAGGGAGGGGTGTCTTAATCACTAAGGGGAGGGAGGGGTGTCTTAATCACTAAGGGGAGGGAGGGTGTCTTAATCACTAAGGGGAGGGAGGGGTGTCTTAATCACTAAGGGGAGGGAGGGGTGTCTTAATCACTAAGGGGAGGGAGGGGTGTCTTAATCACTAAGGGGAGGGAGGGGTGTCTTAATCACTAAGGGGAGGGAGGGGTGTCTTAATCACTAAGGGGAGGGAGGGGTGTCTTAATCACTAAGGGGAGGGAGGGGTGTCTTAATCACTAAGGGGAGGGAGGGGTGTCTTAATCACTAAGGGGAGGGAGGGGTGTCTTAATCACTAAGGGGAGGGAGGGGTGTCTTAATCACTAAGGGGAGGGAGGGGTGTCTTAATCACTAAGGGGAGGGAGGGGTGTCTTAATCACTGAGGGGAGGGAGGGGTGTCTTAATCACTAAGGGGAGGGAGGGGTGTCTTAATCACTAAGGGGAGGGAGGGGTGTCTTAATCACTAAGGGGAGGGAGGGATGTCTTAATCACTAAGGGGAGGGAGGGGTGTCTTAATCACTAAGGGGAGGGAGGGGTGTCTTAATCACTAAGTGGTGGGAGGGGTGTCTTAATGCTATGCTGAACGATACCTATTATAAAACTGATCGGGGGGATGGAGGGGGGAGGGGGGGGGTTGAAAATAGGCAAAAGAGTGATTACGTAATACGTGAACGACCGCTAGTGTACATAATATAGTTGGATTATTTTGAATCTGATTTGTAGAATAGTTTGTATATTTTTGATAAATTTTTATTTTTCGATTTAAACAAAAGTTAAGTGTTCAACTTGGTTTGAGAAGCTGCAGCTCAATATCTCGGCAGCAAAAAGGGAACTCCTATAAAAAATATATAAAAATAAGGAACATTTTAATTTGCTATTCCTAAATAAAACACTATCTAAAATCTAAAAGCTTGTGGAAGTGCAGCGGAACATCTGAAGTTAACTTTAAGATAGTGTGTAATGTTCACGTGTGTAATGTCTTTACCGCAATTTTAGCATTCAGTACTGAAATTTCAGTGTGTTCCACTCACCTAGGTTCCAATCATAATTTTCCTAGGTTACAACCCCCCAATGTTAGCGATGTATTGCTTTTCATACAAAGTTACAACAACGTCTTACGTTATGTATCCTGGGTTTGGACAGGATATTACCCGCTTAAAATATTTCCATCCCGTTACATAATACTCAATAAATGTAATAGATTTGAAGTGTTGTAATAATAAGTATGTTAAATGTATCAATATCTACCCGTCCTGATTAATGAGACTACAGGTTACTACACCTTATAGGACACGGTGCCTGCTTAGTGATTATACCGGCTTACTAATCCAGTAGTTATATTATATATAAGTTACATTAATGTGTTACATAATATGTTAATATGTCACAGTATGCGGCTCCCCGCGAGTATGAATTTGTCTTTGTAAATGACTCTTATAAGCTCCGGTGCTTGCTTATACTGGGCTATTAATATAATAGTTAATAATAATAATGAATTGAAGTTTAAGAACACCACTGTTAATTAAGATAAACTGATACTCAGCTTATCCTCAAACTTCAATGTACGTGTCCATATAATATAAGTTACATTAAAATGTTAATATGTCACGTGAACCAATTAGTATGCACCAAGTGTAGGAATTTGTCTTTTTAATAAGCTTGCACTTTCGCAAATTCAGCTTTAGTGAGAATCATTCTTTTCTCTAAAGCAGCTCAATTATACATTTCATTCCCATTCTAGTTTCAATGAATAGTTGGAAACATCGAGCTCTCAGATGTACAATTGTATAGTGGTAGTTTATAATTTGCAATGTTACCATGGTGATAGTTATTTAGAATATATATTCGCATTTATCCACACTATATTTACATTACATTACACGTACAACGTGATATCGTTATCAGTGCAGTGTGTACAACACCAACTACACCGATTAATTGCCAATCTGCGAAACATTTAATTATTATTATCACTTCGAGATGGCCATGGTGATAGTGTACGTGGTAATTAATACCTGTAGGAGTAGTTATTTGCTGAGATCATGTTTTGTTCCCATGGTAACCTCTAGTTATCATACTCAGTAAATATATGCTTATTATACCGAATGTATGGTTGATATCTAGATATTATGTGCATTCTTGTGGTGAGGTATATTAGTTTGTCACGTGTAACACTGATTCTGGGTTTTGGTTCTGCAATTTGATTGGTTACTTTCTGTCACGTGTCAAGAATGCACTTCAACTCCAGAACCTTGTAAATATACTTTATATGTATCGTAAAAATATGGTCCAATATTCCATAAAGATAAACATATTTGAATTTAACTACTCCTCCATTACTAGAAGTGAAACATTACAATTACAATTAGAGTGTCTCGTATGTGAGTGGTGAAACGTGATGTCATATTTCATCAAAAAGCTAAAGTAAAAACGTTAAGCAATGCACGATTTCACAAGCATCAAGAGAGCTGATACTCCTTATGTTGTCTTTTTGTCGACGAAATTCACGTGCATTGTGAACTATAGTACAACCGCATCCAGATATCGGTTAACTGGCAACTTAACAAAGTGGTTTGATTACAGGTAATATTTGCAGGTCAATATTTTAATATTACTAATAATAGTACTGCGTCCTGTTTCCTTAATATTACTAATATTACTAATAATAATACTACGTCCTGTTTCCCTCTTATTTTATTGCAGAGACGTCTTAAGGGCAATAAACAGTGAAGGACACTAAATCTTATGTACGTGATTTGTTTCCATGGACACATGGAAAATAATAATTCTCGTAATATGGTATGGTATTAGGAGACATTAAATTCTTGATTCAATTCAGGACAATTCCATAACAACGCACATGGTAACGGTGGTACGTTATCAAAACAGCGCGCCTAGCACAATATTTGTAGTTTCTTGAGCGCTGGATATTTTCGAAATTTTATTAGGAAAAGTATGACATCAACATCAAATAAAATGCGCGCGTACGCGCTATTGACATATGACTTCGTCGCTAACCCTAATGCCTAACCCTGTTCGAAAACACCTGTTCGGGAACACATGTCAAGCTACTTGGTACTGCTGCGCTCTCTTCATCTGACTAGCAAAATTCAGAAAAACTTTCGGATAATCTCTTCCAAATCAAAAGGCCGAAAATCGAGTGTTTTAGCAAATATATCTTAGAATGATTTTAAATTTTCTGTAGATACGCCTACCACTTTTTTTTCGAACTTTCCAGATACTAAAATGGCTATAGCCATATTATAAGTTTGATACTCTGTGCAAGTTTGGGCGAATTTTGGTGTGCCAAATTTATCACTTCAAACACAAGAAATTTGAGTTGTACCGCTTATTATATACTGGACCTTGAACAATTATTAAGTAACCATAATATTAATATGGATATACGATTTGGCAAATAACTCTGCAATTTTGTATGCAATTTGTACAAAACAATTTGGTTTTTTTGGCATTTTTAATAGGATTATAGGAAGTAAGTCAAGTTACTTTTTTCGTTCGGATCATTTATCTCATAAAAGGATGTACTCACGGACTC